TGCTGGGCACATGCCTGAGATACTTCAGTGGCATGTAAGTGGCATTGATGCCTCGGTTAGATGAAACTTGGTTACCACATAATTTGATATAATGTATGCAATAGGCTAGGGGTGTCAAACTGGATACCTCCTGTTGCACCCTGCTGGTCAAAACACGACCTTGTTTTCATAAGGTGACCAGACGTCCTGCTTTTGGCGGGACAGTCATGATTTTTCAAAATTTGTCCTGTGTCCCGTGGCATGCTTAAAAAGTCCCGATTTTCCAAAAGAAAGAAAAGACGACGAATCATCAATTTTAAAAAGGACGCCGTTAAAAAAAAGTTTTTATTTCTCTGAAGTGTCGTTCCCGATGTGGCCTTTAGAGGGCAGTGGTTTCCCTCCCTCTGCTCAGCTCACTCGCAGCGTCTGACGAGGGGCAAGGCTTCCTCTCCTCCTGCGTGTGCACGCGCCAACGCGCGATGTTTTTGCGACAGCCATCCGGCAGCCTCGGCCAGGGGGTCTTTCCGGCGGCGGCAGCACAGCGAGGAGGAGGCTTGGTCTCGGGCCAAGCGGCTCAGCCATCAGAAGTTGTTTTTTTTTGCCCACTTCTCTCGGGTGCCGCTCTCCCTGCAGCCATGCGGTGCAAGCCGCCATCAGCAACCTGGTCTGGGTGAGCCGAGGGGAGGCAGGCGGGGATCTGGTTTGGAGAGGCTGGCGATGGGAGTGGCTTTTGAAAGGGTTCGGGGGCGTTGTGGGAAGGCAATCGGGGGAAGGCTTTTTTTTACAGCTCAGGTGCTCCGAGCGCCCGCCCCTCAATGGTGTCCCGCTTTACCCATCTTAAAATCTGGTCACTTTACCCAATAACATGTCAGGAAATGCAATGATCTAGGCAGAAGTTGTCGCTGAGCTAGTTAACTATACTTGCAGGCCTTGGATGATCTAGCCACTTCCCATAACAAGTATTTTTTCTTACTAGTAATAAAATAAAATATTGAGTTTCTTGATTTTTAAAAACATTTTATGGACTTTGAAGGTGTCTTACAACATATAAATGTGGGTTTTTTGTTTAAAGGAAACCAAATAACTAATTTGTTTTTGAATAATTGTCAATAAAATAATATTTTAGTTGCTTCAGGTATGTGTATATTGAGTAGAAAGAATAGGCTTGCATTATTTTAAAATATCAGATATTGCTTTGAAATTATCAATTACATATTTGGTCATAGGCTGTAAATATTTTGGGACTAATGCATAAAAACTTCCATATTTGATTTCTTTTATAATGTGTATCTTCAAGTACATTAAACATATGCAAGAGAAGTGACATTTATTATGTAAAATTGTTCTATAACATTCATTTAGGAATTCATTAAATTTATGTTTGGAATGACCCCGATATTTTCTCCTTTCTTTCCTTCCTCCTCCACCCTAACTTTCTTCTACTGAGCATGTATTATGCTCATAATTTGGTCAAAAATGTTTGTAATACATAAGAATCCTAAAGTTAACTTTCATGTAATGTAAGATTTATATGATAAACTATTACTTTATTGTCAACCCAGTAATACATTAGTTTTGCCAGTTCGAGTCTAATGTATTTTCTTTATTAATGCTTTTCTCCAGGCCATTCTCCTAATCTAACTTGTCGAGCATTCTTTGGATACAGTGGAGAAGTCAGTCCTTTAATGTATTGGATGAAAGGCGAAAAGTTTATTGAGGATTTGGATGAAAGTCGGGTTTGGGAGAGTGATATTAGGTAAAAAATGTATATACATATGTTTTGTCAAGACTAATATCTACTTTTCTTAAATGAATAAAATACTATTTAAAAGAGGAATAATTATTACAGAGCACAAAATCATCTGAGCCTTGTTCTTTTGCAGGATGATTATTGAGAATGGCATAGAAAATTGATGTTTCATACAAATGTATGCGTGTTGGAGAATTTTAATCTTTATTTTTATTTTGTTTGTTTGTTTTTTTTCTTTTCTTATTCTGGGTAAGCTGCCCGGAGTCCTCCGGGATTGGGCGGCCTATAAATTCAATAAATTAAATTAAATTAAATTATATGCAATTATTCCAAAACTGCTAGTTTTAGAATCTAATGTTGAAGCAAGAATGAAGATTCAGCAACTGTAAAATGTTTAGAAACTATTTACATGATAAATTGTGTGTGTGTGTCCATGCGTGTGTGTGTCTATTATAAATTGATTACTTACACAAAATCCTTTTGTGATATTCATTGGGATGTTTCTTAATCTTTGGAAATAGTGGTAATTTCTTTTGGTGTTTATATTTGTGGATATATGTTGTTTTCAAACAAACAAGTATTATGTGCATAAAGAATTATAAACAAAGTATGAATTTCCAAAGAAAATTATTTCTCCTAAATTACTCAAAGAAATGCATCCATCTTCTGAGAATATTAACACTGTTACTTAATCTTTAAAAATGGAATAATCCAGAAATATATTTTATTTTTTAAAAATAGAATATATTTCACCTTAATTGCAAAAAAAATTAGGTAATTGTTTTCACAAAACCTGTTCTATTTGGTTCAATTTTTTTAATCTTAAAAAGGGTTTTAAAAGATAGTTATGGAACAAGAACAACTGTTGATATTTTAGCAAAAAAATGTTTATAAAAATCAATTTAATTCAGATCTCATTAGCATCTACAGATGTGTATAAATATATATTGATAATAAGGTAAACTAGTGGTTTAATTACATCAATGTACTTTTTTAAAAATAAAGATCATATTAAGATTCCTTCGATTCCTTCCAAAAATATTGTTTTTCAACAATTTTTCAATAAGCAAAAATATTTCAACAAAATGTTTTTCTTTTTATTAGAATCCTTAAAGAACATCTTGGAGAACAAGAAGTTTCCATCTCATTAATTCTTGATTCAGTGGAAGAAGGGGATCTTGGAAATTACTCCTGCTATGTTGAAAATGGATACGGCCGCAGACATGCTACAGTTATTCTACTTAAGAGGGGTGAATATATCTATCTATCTATCTATCTATCTATCTATCTATCTATCTATCTATCTATCTATCTATCTATCTATCTATCTATCTATCTATCTATCT